GTCCTGGAATTCACTATGTAGACCAGGCTGGCCTCGAACTCACAAAGATCCGCCTGCCTCTGCCTCCCAAGTGCTGGGATTAAAGGTGTGTGCCACCACGCCTGGCTTATTTATTATTTTTATTTTATGTGTATGAGTGTATTGTCTGGATGTATGTAAATCAAAGCCAAGTTTTTGGTGATATGTTACAGGAATGTGTGATGGTTAGTTTTAATCGTCAACTTGACACAGACTAGAATCACTAGAGAGTCTCAAGGAGGGGGTAGCCTAGATCAAGTTGACCTATGAGTGTGTCTGTGGGAGATTGTCTTGATAACCATAATTGATGTTGGAAGACCCAGCCCCCAAGTGGACAGCACTGTTGTATGGCTGGGCCCCAAACTGTATAAGAGTGAAAAAAATCGAGCTGATACATGCATCTGTTTATCTCTGCTCTTGACTGTGATGTGATGTGACCAGCTGCTTCAGTTCCTGCCTTGACGTTCCTGCAGTGATGGGCTATAGCTGGAATTGTGAGCCAAGTAATCCCTCCTCCCCTAGGTTGCTTTTTGTCAGAGCATTTTATCCCAGAAGTAAAACTAGGCCAGAGGGGAAGACTGCTGAAGGTTTCCTTCAGAATTTTGTGTTGCCTTGGGTTTGAAGGTTCCTAGGATTTGCATGGCAAAAAGAGCAGACCACTGTGAGTCAGCAGTGTGGGGTGAAGGCAAGAGACACAGAAGCTCTGGAGTAGGAGCTGTGTGTGGCTGAGGCTAGCAAAGGCAGATCCATCTGGCAGTTTTGTGCATGAGATGAAGCCTGGCGGGCTAGTGCCCCCCACCAACCATTATATTTATTTAGGCCACATGGCTGAGCAAGGTAGTAAAATATTAGTTGTAACTGGAGGTGGTGATTACACACCTGTAACCCCAGCATGCAGGAGGCGTGAGGCAGGAGAGTTGTGAGTTTGAGGCTAGCCTGAGCTACACAGCAAGTCTGGGGCCAGCTTGAGTTTCGTAGGGAGACCCTGTCTCAAAAGAACCAAACCAAGACTGGGGAGATAGATGACTCAGTGGGTAAAGTAAGCAAGCATAATGACCTGATCCCTGGTACCCACATAAAAGGCTGTGGTGGTGGCATGCACCTGCAGTCCAAGAACTTAGGAGGCAAACAGGTGGATCCCTAGAGCTCACTAACTGACCATACTAGATAATTAGTGAGCACCAGGTTCAGTGAGATGTATGGTCTTTAGAAATGAGGTGGTGAGATGCTATAGAAGAAGACAGTGACATCAGCCTTGTCAGCCTCTGGCCACCACAGGTGCACACAGGTACAGCACACCCCTAACCCAAACAAAACCCGTGAGCAGTGGAGAACCAGAGGTATAGATTTATGTGTCCAAGTCAGACTTGGCCAGCTCAAGTCCTTGGGTGTAGTAGGTATAAGAAACTGGCTCTCTGGGCTGGAGAGATGGCTCAGCGGTTAAGAATACCTGCTGTTCTTGCAGAGGTCCCAGGTTTGGCTCTCAGCACCCACATGGCGGCTAACCAATGGTCCATAACTCCAATTCCAAGGGATCCAATGCCCTCTTCTGGCCTACACAGGTGGTGCGTTCACATGCAGGCAAAATATTCATACACACAAAATTTTAAAGGAAAGAAAGAAACTGACTTTCCCAACCCCTTTTGGGGGAGGGGTGAGAAGAGAGAGGATTAAGCAACATGGAGCAACCATGGCCCTGGCAGTCTATCAGAGGGAGTGAATGCTCTGCAGTGCCTAACTAAGCGCTCTGCACTTGATACTTGGTAAATGCTTATTTGGGGGCCTGGGACGGCTCAGTTGTTAAGCAGGTGCTTGCTTTGCAAACATAAGGACCCGAGTTCCATCCCTAACACCCATGTCAAAAAGCCAGGCATGGTGGCATGTGCCTGTAGCCCCAATACCAGGGAGGTGGAGACAGGGTCCCTAAGACTCGCTAGTCAGCCTGTCTCGCTTACTTAGTGAGCTTCAGGCCAATGAAAGACCCCTGTCTCAAAGGAAGCCAACAGCATTCCTAAGGATGACACCCAAGGCTGTCCTCTAGCCTCAGTACTCATGCACACATGTGCACTCCCACCCACACATATCCACTAACCCACACATGCATTAGAGAAAAAAAAAAAAAACTTGTTTTTTAGGTTATTTCTGACAGCTGGCATAGTAGTCTTTTGGTGATGAAAAGATGACTTCAGGTTGTGGGACATACAAGGAGCGCCACAGAAGCAAACGAGGAATCTGATAGGACTCTGTCTAAGGTTTAATGGATGGACTGCGGGTGCCCTCTGGCCTTTCTGCACTGTGCCATAAGCTGAAATAGAAAATGACACATCAGTCTTGTAGCCACTAGCGCAGGAGCCCTGGATCTGGTCTGCTCTGTGTGTGTGTTGAGGCAGAAGCGGGGAGGGTGAGCAGGTAGTATCTTCCATGCAGAGCCATCTGGGAAACTGCTGTTATTTCTGAAGGCATTAGCTTGTCCTCTTATGACAATTGTGTGGCATCTCCACACCCTTGTCCCCAATCCTCCCCATCCCATTGTCAGTGTAGAGACCAGACTTGAATGAAGTGATTGGCTTCATTTCTTCATCCATTCAGTCATCATTACTGCCCATTATGTATGGGACACTGTGATAATAACAGCGCCTGTCAACAAGACACAGCTGGTTGAGAAGCTGGAGTTGACAGCCCAAGGCCATGCATTTCTAGTGAGGAGTGGCCCAGACACACTCACCCTGTAATGCCCTCTGCCAGGTTGGAGGCCAGCCAAATGTTAAGATGAAGATTCCCCCTCAGATGTTGGGCTTGTAAGTGGGCTGCCCTTTCAAGACACCCCTCTCCCACTCCCGCCAGGAGAAGATGAGTCCTTTGGAGGAGGTGGTTCTTAAATTTTACAGCTTCTGGGAGGAAGCAGCATGCACTGGAGACAGCGCTGGAACTCAGTTCTAATGCACCTGTGCTGTTCAGAGAGTTCGCAGGAACATCTGCACTAGCTCCACCTCCAGAGGAGACTGTGGCTGGCCCATCTCGTACTGTTGTTCACAGTGCATATTAGTTGGCACAGGCCACCCAGCCTGCACTGTCTTACTGTCTTGGATATTGGCTGCCCTGTGGTCTTTATCAGAGCCCTCTTCTGCAAACTCCCAGAGGAAATGTGTTGTCTTACAAGGGTTGCTCTACAAGGGTGGCCGGGGCACACTAGATCCAGTGTCTGGAGAGCACAGTGGGTTGTAGCTTCGATCTGTGTGTGTGACCATCAAGTGTTGAGAAAGCAGTTGTAGAGAGAGAAGAGACCTTTAAAGAATGCTTGAGTTGATCCATTGTCTTCTGGACCATCATTATGCTAGAAGGCAGTTTGAATATTTGCAAACCAGGTGGGGTATAATTTTGGTATTTGGCTTTTCTATAGCCACTGGATATTGGCTGAAATTCACCTGAGCCCTGCTGGTCACTGTAACACCGTGAATGTCTTGAATCTAGTAAATAGGGATGTTTCAGAGCTGAAAGAGCTATTAAAAGTCCCCCAAGAGAAAAAGAAACCCCAAACTATGTGATAGGCACTGTCATCCTTGTTTCTGATCCTGCTCTTTGCTGCCCCTCTTGTCCACAGTGAACACCTACCTCTTCATGGTGCAGGCTCAAGGCATCCTGCTGCGAGACAATGTGCGAACCATCGGAGCTCAGGTGTACGAGCAGGTAGTCCGCAGTGCATACGCCAAGAGGAACAGCAGCCTCAATGACTCAGGTAGGAGTTAGTAAAGTGGCCGTCCGCTAGCATGTCCCCAAGAGAGACTCAGTTGGCTGAGGAATTCTTTTCAAAGGAGAAAGTACATTGAAGACACTCTTACTGAGGGAATCCTTGCACACTCTGCTGACAGTGTGTTAAGGCCCCTGGAAGTCTGCATTTTCATTCTGGAACTTGTTGAATAGCTCAAGGTTGTCTTCTAGACTGTTCCTTAAAAGAAAAAGGCATTTATGTGTGTGGTTGTGTGTGTTTGCCACAGACATGTGGCAGTCAGAGGACAACTTGCAGAGTTAGTTCCCTTTCCATCATGTGGGTTCTGGGGATCAAATTTGGCTTGTCAGGCTTGGTGGTAAGCACCTTTACCTGCTGAGCCATCTTGCTGGCCCCTACTTAGTGACTTTGGGACAGCAGGGCTGGGATGTCCTGCCCTTGTGGACCTGTGCATGAGTGTGGCCCATTCCCCTTCTAGCAGCACCTTGAGCAATGCTCTCTCACTCACTCACTCAAAGGTCTGCTGCCTTGGCATGCCCTGAATCCCTCACCCTTTTGAGCCCTTTTCTCTTGGTTTGGGCCCCCTCGTCTTTGTGATGCTCTGCTAGATGGTTGTCATGCTAACTCCCCAAACAGCTCATTCTTTTGAGGTAGGATTTCTGATCCTCCTGCCTCAGCCTCCTAAGTGTTGGGGTTACATGGTGTGCCACTGTGTCGGACAAGGTTAATTCTTTCTGTTTTACACTGAGCCCATGACATCTTTGTAGTACACATGCATTTTTGCATTTGTCAAACTGAAAGGCCTTGTTCTGTCTTCTCTCAGAAGAGGGAAGTGTGGTTGTCACTGGAATCTGCTGCTCAGCACTTTTGTTGGTTGGGGAGAAAGCCCTGTGTTGGAGTGGCTCCACCGCTAGCCTAGCTTTAAGATCCTTGGGGCATAGGGTCGACAGTGGTGTACAAGCCCCTCTGCTAGATACTGTTTCCCCACTTTATAAAACTGAAAGCAGCCACCTGCCCTGCTAGGGGAACGTGTTTCCCATTGGAGTAGATTAGAGTTAAATTAAAAGTAAAACCACAGCTGGATGTGGTGATGCACTGTAATCCCAGCACTCAGGAAGCAGGAGGATCAATCAGTTCACGGTCAGCCTCGGTAATGGTGAGTTCTAGGCCAGCCTGGGTTACATGAAACCCTGCCTCAGGAAGAAAGAAAAAGTGAGACCATACCCTTCAGATCACAACAGGCTCATTTTCTCTTCATCAGTTCCGAAAGTATTGATGCTGCCTATGGGAGTGAGTGTGTGTGTGTGTGTGGTGTGTGTGTGTGTGTGTGTGTGTGTGTGTGTGTGTGTGTGTGTGTGTGTCTCGAGAAAGCCCTGTGTTGGAGTGGCTCCACCGCTAGCCTAGCTTTAAGATCCTTGGGGCATAGGGTCGACAGTGGTGTACAAGCCCCTCTGCTAGATACTGTTTCCCCACTTTATAAAACTGAAAGCAGCCACCTGCCCTGCTAGGGGAACGTGTTTCCCATTGGAGTAGATTAGAGTTAAATTAAAAGTAAAACCACAGCTGGATGTGGTGATGCACTGTAATCCCAGCACTCAGGAAGCAGGAGGATCAATCAGTTCACGGTCAGCCTCGGTAATGGTGAGTTCTAGGCCAGCCTGGGTTACATGAAACCCTGCCTCAGGAAGAAAGAAAAAGTGAGACCATACCCTTCAGATCACAACAGGCTCATTTTCTCTTCATCAGTTCCGAAAGTATTGATGCTGCCTATGGGAGTGAGTGTGTGTGTGTGTGTGGTGTGTGTGTGTGTGTGTGTGTGTGTGTGTGTTTGTGTGTTTGTGTGTGTGTCCCTGCCCATTTCCCTCTAGCTGGAGGAGGAATGGGGCTTCTATAGTTACCATGTTCTGTCTTCTACGTCATGAGCAATTGAGTTCTGCTTTAAAAGGTTTTAATTTTATTTACATTTTGTTTCAATGTACAGAATTTAAAATTAGCGCTGGGGAGATGGCTTAGTCCACACATGGACTTCTCGGACACACAAGTGTATTATATACATAATGTCTAGTACTTGAGAAACCTCAGTTAATATTTTTTTACATTTATTTGTTATTTTATGTGTGGGTAGGGGATAGGAGGTGCATGTATGCCACAGCATGTGTATGGAGATCAAAGATTTGTGGAATTAGGCTCTCTCCTTCTACTAAGTGGGCTCCAGGGAATCAAATTCAAGTTGTCAGGTTTGATGGCAGAGCACATTTATCCACTGAGCCGTCTTCAATGGGTTTCAGTTTTTTGATTTATTTGAGACAGGGTCTTCCTATAGCCTCAGCTAGCCTGGAACCCCCTGTGTAGACTAGGCTGGCCTCAATCTCACAGAGATTCATCCACCTGTCTATTAAGTGCTAGGATTAAAGGTAAGAGTGCCACTAGGCCCAGATGGATTTTTTTTTTTTTTTGGTCTTTTTTTGAGACAGGGTCTCCCTGCAGCCCCAGCTGGCCTGGAATTCATTATGTAGACTAGGCAGAACTTGAACTCACAGAGATCCTCCTGCCTCTGCCTCCCAAGTGCTGGGACTACAGGTGTGTGCCACCATGCCCAGCTGTTTTGGATCTTTTGAGACAGAGTCCCTCTGTAGCCACAGCTGGCCTGGATTTGCTATGGAGACCAGGCTGGCCTTGAACTCACAGAGATCCGCCTGCCTCTACCTCCCAAGTGCTGGGACTATAGGTGTGCGCCACCATGCCCAGTTGTTTTGGATCTTTTGAGACAGGGTCCCTCGGTAGCCTTAGCTGGCCTGGATTTGCTATGGAGACCAGGCTAGCCTCGAACTCACAGAGATCCACCTACCTCTGCCTCCTGAGTGCTGAGATTAAACGCATACACCACCACACCTGACTGAGAAAAAAAAATTTTTTTTTAAGTTGGGAAGCAAGATAAAAGACCACAGACCCAAGGAAACTAACCACCAATGCCACAGCAGGCAAGCGTCACTGTCCAGAGCTCCTCAAAACTCAGGAATGCCCAGTGTTCAGTATTTTTGAGAATCAGAAGAAAGGTAGACTAGGTGTGGTGGGGCACACTAATCTCAGCACTTCGAGGTGGAGGCAGGAGAGGGAGCTCAGTATCATCCTTGGCTACATAGCAAGTTTAAAGCCAACCTGGGTTACATGAGACTCTGTCTCAAAAAATCAAAAGGAGTAAAGGTAGTAACTGAGGTCAAGGTGAACTAGAAGAGATTAAGCAGTACCAGAACCTTGTCCCCAGTCTGGCAAGGAGCTGGAGCCCTGAGAATTTCCATGCGTGTAAACAGGTCCCACAATGTGACTATAGAATTTGAAGAGACAGGAGTTTCCTGTGCCCCTACCCTCTTATATTCCCCTATGTCCTGATGTCTAACCCAGGACCATGCTGTTCTGGCAGGGGACTGGAATAGGTTTCTGGAAAATCTCATCAGACCTAGTGAAGAGATACTGGACGTCTTTCAACAAGGGTTCCTAGCCAGAGCACCAGTAGGTGTACCCTTCAGGTAGCTACTAACGGGCTACCCCAAAACTTAGCAATCCTAGGCACTATGCTAGAGATGGAAACAGAAGGAAAAGCAGAATGTGGCAGGGAGGACTATCACCCAGGTAATATTGCACCCCAACATTCCAGAGCCAGAGAGCAAGTTTCCAGGCTTGAAAGGTCCACGTCACAGGGGCTGAAAATAGCCTCCCAGAAAGTACCATGTAAAATTTCCTGAACAAAGAGCAAATTCTTCATGCTTCCAGAAGGAAATGACTGGCCACCTATAGAAATGAGGTTGTCAGATCATGACTTCAGTCTTCAGCACCCTAGGGCAGTCTAGGGGGTTGGTGGACAGCATGTGGACAGTTCACGGGAAGTTGTCTCAGCCTATACTGCTACAGTACAGCCACACTGAATCAAGTGAGGCTCAACAGAAGCTGTCAGGCAGCCCAGGTTTCAAAATCACACGCCCCACACAACCTTTGTAGGAAGCCACTGGAATCATGCTCCATAGATGAGAAAAGGGAGAACTGGAACTCTGGACAAACAAGGTTTAGCACTGCACAGAGGGGTGAAGGCAGAGGGTAAGGGGTCCCAGGGAGGCATTTTTACAACAGGCCCACAGGAAAGGTGCCTGCCCTTCTGGAGACTGCAAGGCAATGTGGGTGTCTAGGAGGCAGTGTCCACAGAGGCATTCCAGGGAAAACTGATCAGGCCCCAGGGGAAAAACCAGCATAGCCTTCCACATTCCTCCGCTCTGACTGATTGTTACATATCAACACTGAAGATTGCCCTAAGTCCGGTTATGGCCAATGATTGTTGGGAAACTGTAGGCTAGGAGGAGGCCAGGCGACTGCCTCATTTAGAGCTGTCCCAGGAGAAGATTGGATGGAAACAGGTCAGCCAGCTAGGTGCATGACCCATGAGCTGGGTGTGAATGCCAGAGCAGCTGGCTGGAGGTGCGAAGCACTAAGAGGCAGAGGAGGGTCTATGGAACTCCATTCTGATCGCAGCTGCTGTAAGCTGAGCACAGAAGCACACAGTACTGGTGGGAATGGGAAGGAAGCAGTCTCCGCAGCCTCCTGCTTCCCCTTCTGTGGGTGGCTTCCTATTTTTAGCCCCTACACAAAGTCATCCTATTCCTGTTCCCCCAGGCCACGCTCCAGTGTGCCTCTCTAGGGTGGAAGGAATCACAGAAGGCTGGAGCCCGTCTGAGCTGCCTTTCCCTTCCCTCCCTAGATTATCCTCTTGACTTGAACCAGAGTGAAACCTTCCCCCCAACCACGACATTTCTTCCTGAAGACTTCACCTACTTCGCCAACCACCCTTGCCCGGAGAGGCTCCCTTCCATGAGTGAGTAGACTCCAGCTTGCCTCCACTGCTTCTGAGTAGAGTGTCTGACCAACTTGGAGGGGGTGTGTGGTCCCTTCCCTATCTGCTGTCTCCCCACCTCTTTGGACAGTGAAATGGTTCCCTGCCTTGGGAGCAAGGCTGGAGGAATCCCATTGTTCCAGCTCCTCTTCAGCCATGCTAGCTGAAGGTAGCCCAGGTTCTCTACCCTTGGTAATCAATAACCCTTGTTTGTGACTTAGGGTCTCCTAAGATATCCTTGGCTTTGTCTTTTTAGTATAAATGGCCCATTGATTATAACTGGTTTGATATAACAGACCTACCTTTCTTCCTAACTTCTTCCTTCATCTCTACTCCCTTCCCGCTCCTCCCTTCCTCCCCTTCCTTCTTTCCTTATTAAGTTTTTAGTCTAACTTATAAGCTAATGGGTTCCATATGGCATCTTCATATGTGTGTCCTTTTTTGTTCTGGCTTGTTTCCCTTCCCATGCTCTCCCTTCTCCCCCTTTGTCCCTCTGGGTGGTTATTAGAAGTTATTTTTTTTCTTTGTATTTATGTGTATATGTGTGTGTGCATATGCATGTGTGTATGTGGTTGTCCACAGACTAGAAGAGGGTATTGGATCCCCTGGAGCTAGAGTTACGGATGGTTGGTTGTGTGCCACCTAATGTGTGTGCTGGGAACTGAACTCCAGTCCTCTTAACCACTAGATATCAAGTCCTCTGAACCACTGAGACATTTCCCTAGCCTGTAGAAGTTCTTAACAAAATATTGATTAAAAAAAAAAATTCAGTTTTTATTTTAAAAAATATCTCAGTGGGTGTGGTGGTACACACCTTTAATCCCAGCACACAAGAGGCAGAGGCAGGTGGATCTCTGTGTGACTGAGGCCGGCCTGGTCTACATAGTCAGTTCAGTCTAGCCAGAGCTGCATAGTAAGACCCTTCTAAAACAAACAGACCCCTCAGACTCTCAGTTTTTGTTGTTCTTTTGGAAGTCCCATGTTTAACCTGAAGCAGTGACAACAGGTGTATACCATTTTTTTTAGAACTCTTTAGTTCTGTCTTTTTTTGGGGGGGGGGTCTTTTTAAGACAGGATCTCTGTAGCCCCAGCTGGCCTGGAACTCACTGTAGACCAGAGTGGCTTGGAACTCACAGAGATCCACCTGCCTCTGCCTCCCAAGTGCTGGAATTAAAGGTGTGTACCACCACGCCTGGCCTGCCTTTTTTTAAAAAAGATTTGTTTTTATTTTATGTGTGAATATTTTGCCAATGTGTATGTAAGTGTACCATATGTGTGCAATGCCCACAGAGGTCAGAAGAGGACATCAGATCATCAGATTCCTGAAACTAGAATTACAGATGATTGTTAGCTACCACGTGGATGCTAGGAACCTAACCTGGGTCCTCTGCAAGAGCAGCCAGTGCTCTTAACCGCTGAGCCATCTCTCCAGCCCCTAGTTCTGGTTTTTTAAAGAAGAAATTTTAAAGCAAAAGAAGATCTTTGGTTTGCAGAGCTGGCTTTTTGCTTAAGTGTAATGAAAAGAGGAGGTGTTGGCGGTAGTCCTGCACGGACCTTGGACTTGCTTCTCTCCCTGTGTAAGAGACCCTTCTGTGGTACGCAGGTTGTGATGGAAACCTCCTTTGTTTTTTTTTTTTGTTTTTTTTTTTTTTTTTTTTTTTTTTTTTTTTTTTTTTTTTTTTGGTGGTCTTTTTTTGAGACAAGGTTTCCCAGTAGCCCCAGCTGGCCTGACCAGGCTGGCCTGGAACTCACAGAGATCTGTTTATCTCTGCCTCCCAGGTGCTGGGATTAAATGTGTGCGCCGCCATGCCCAGTGCCTCCTTTCCTTTTGTATACCTATCCCACTGCGTCTAAGTAGGGCTGAGATTTGGGTTTAGAAATCAGCTGACAGGCTGAAGTTAGTGTCATGGAACCACCCTTTCACTGGCACTCATTGATTGTCAAGGTTCTGCTTCTTGGCCTTTGTCAAGACAAGTGTTCTGTGATTGGACACAATTACAGAGCCCTCCTCACCAGTGGATGAGGTGAGACCAGCAGCTGGCCTCACTTCAAAGGGAGCCGATAGGCAAAATGTGCCCTTTTCTGAGATGTTTAACTGCTGCTTCAGTTTTGCAGCAGGGCAGGGCCTGGGACATGAGCTGTTCCCATTTCAGTCCTGCCTTCTCCACATTAGCAGAAGCAGATCTCTAAGGCCTCAGTCCTTAGGTGTGTTGCTTTGCCAGATGATAGTGACCCACCCAAGGACAGAGAGATGGCCCAGAGAAAAGCATGGCCAGCCAAGGAAAATCTGTCATTTTCTGGCTTCTCATCATGTCTCTTTCTCTGTGTTCAGAGGGCCCAATAGACATAAACATGAGCGAGATCAGAATGGAGGACATTCACCAGCTTTTCTCCAGAGACCCAACCATCAAGCTCGGAGGCCACTGGAAACCTTCAGACTGTGTGCCTCGGTGGAAGGTGGGCTGGGAGTCAGACCCCAGGCGTGGGAAACTGATCTGGGATTGCCAGGACTCAAGATCTGTACCATTGCATGACTTTTGCTCTACCCCATGTTTCGGAGAAATGGTTTTCCCCAAGGACTCTGCTGTAGCCATAGAAATTCATAGCACTCCCATGGCAGTGCTGGACCCCTATGTTCCCAGACAGTATTGTTAGCAGCAGACAGGGTTACCAGGTCTGCTGACACATCTGTAGACTACATCTCTGCAGAGCCAGAGCTTCCTACCTGGTCTCCTAGGCTACTAGATTAGTGGGAGCCAGTGCAGTTGTCCAGCTGGACCCTGAGGCCCTTGTAGTGTGACTGTAGTCAGGAGAGGACACTCAGTAGTGAGGCTCTAGCTTGGGACAACAGTTCAAATCCCTTTTTTCACCAAGTGTTTATTCAAGTGCTTATATGGTGCTGGCCCCAGGAGGGCCTGGTGATGCAGCTGTGAAGCAGGTGAGCCAGAAGTAAGCTCAGTTTAATGGTGAGCACTTAAAATGAGATATACGGCTATTCTGTAGGTGTACATTGTATGTATAGTGCTGTGTGCAAGACTGGAACATGCTGTGTTTGCACACCTGTAGATGTGCTTTTGTGGATCATGTGGGTGTGTATGCCCCCTAAGACTAGAAAGGATCTAGTTAGTTCCAGGATGGCACTGGGGATGTTAAGGCTTCCAGGTGCTCAGGACTACCATGGTTTGCTCATCCATGATTCAAAGTGCCCTGCTGTGCAGGAGAACCTCAGATTGTCTTCATTTCCTATGATCCATTGTAGGTGGCAATCCTCATCCCCTTCCGGAACCGTCACGAGCACCTCCCAGTCCTGCTCCGTCACCTGATCCCCATGCTCCAGCGCCAGCGGCTGCAGTTCGCCTTCTATGTGGTTGAGCAAGTGAGTGGTCCTACTGTTCCTTTCTTCGTTTTCTTCTGAGACGGTTTGGAAAGCTGCACGTGCAGCTCTCTTCAATGTGAAGACCCAGCAGCACTGAAACCTTAACCTCAAGGTGGGAAGGTAGCAGGAAAGGTCCATGCTCTTAGATATACTGGTGCTGGCAGGTTTCAGTCCAAAGTGGAACTCTGCCTGGGAACAAGGGCCTCCTGCATGGGGATTTTGCTTTAGTGTGATCTAATAATATTTCCCAGCTCCCACCCAGAAACTCCCCATAAGATAAGGAGCTGCAGTCTAGCACAATGGCCTGGGGCTTTCTTAGACTTCTTTAAGCCTCCATGGGGTTTTATTTTCATCTTAAGTATATGGAAATTGAAGACCCACAAGGCAAATTCAATCTAAGTCCTTTTCCCCCTTGTGGTCCTATAGAGTACTCTCTCATACCTAGTTCACATACTCACACTACTGGCCTACCTTCTTAGGTGAACACTGCAGAAACTTCTGGGAGGTGTGGAAAGTCCCCTTAATCCCCTGTGTTTGCAGACCCTGCCTCCTTGCCAGCATACTGCAGAGGCCATGACCTGCACCAGGCTCAGTGGTTGTGGTGTGGCTGCCTTATAGCAAGATGATATTCTAAAAAGGAAAGCATCTGGGAATAGGACAGAACAGTCCAGAGCTCTAGAAAAGAACTTTTATTTCTGCTTTGGAGCCAGGCATGGTGGTGTAGGCCTGTAATGCCAGCATTGAGAGGCTGAGGCAGGAGGATCATGAGTTTGAGGCCAGCCTGGGCTATATAGCAAGACCATGTCACGATACCCACAGAAGGAAGGAAACTGAGTTTCTACTTTTAATTAATTAATTAATTAAATTTTGAGACAAGTTCTCACTATGTAGCCCTGGCTGGCCTGGCACTGGCTGTGTAGACCAGGCTGGCCTCAAACTCAGAGAGATCCTACTGCCTCTGTCTCTGGAGTGCTAGGATTAAAGATGTGCACTGCCATACTTGGCAGAAACGTACATTGCTGCTTTACCTGTGACTTAGTAAAATTATGTTATAAGAAGTCCCCAGTTAGGCTGGGAAGATGTTCAGTGGGTAAAGGCACTTGACTCCAAGCCTGATGACCTGAGTTCTCTCCCCAGACCCCACATGGTGGAGGTAGAAAATCAACTTCCAAAAGTTGTCCTCTGACATCCACATGCACACTGTGGCACATGTATACAGATACTTTCTTCTTTAAAAAAAAAAAAAAAAAAAAAGGGGGGGGGGCCCCTGTTCAATATCAAATCAAAATTTCCCTTTTGATAAATTTCCCTTCCCTGACTTCTTTAAAAAAAAAAAAAAAAAAAAAAGCGGGGGGGTCCCTGTTGACTATCAAATCAGACATTTCCCTTTGATTAAATACTTGTGCCAGTCGAGTGGCTATTTTGGTACTGGCCAGGATGAGTGAATGTTGGCAGTACAGCTAGGCTGTAACTAGTCCATAGGTATGTGTCTGTGGGAGCTCAGTGACACTAGACAAAGCAACGAGCAGAGCCTCTTACTAGATTTTCATGAAGTAGCTTGGTGTGCAGCAGGCAGGGATGGACAGGTGCGTAGTATGGACATGAGAGGAGAATTGACAGTGCCCCCAGCCTAGTTCCCTTTATGCCCTGCCATATGGTAGGCCTCTGCCTCTGTGGCAGCATGTATTAATACAAGAGACCATCTCTGAAGAAGTCAAGGCTAGAATTGAGTTGATGTCTGGAGTTGACTGAGTGTTGGTTGGGGTCGAGCAGTCCTACACCAACTCACAGGCTCAGAGATCTTTCCATTTGGTTCTAGTGGCCTTTTGACATAGGAATGGCAGTGTAGGTTTTGCTTCAAGAACCCTTTATTTCTTCAGGTTGGCACCCAACCCTTTAACCGAGCCATGCTTTTCAACGTTGGTTTTCAAGAAGCCATGAAGGACTTGGATTGGGACTGTCTAATCTTCCATGATGTGGATCACATACCAGAAAGCGATCGAAATTACTACGGCTGTGGACAGATGCCCAGGCACTTCGCAACTAAGTTGGATAAGTACATGTATCTGTGAGTGTCAATTCCTCCTTCATTAAAGCTGTTCAATCTAAAGGCCAAGAGTCAAAAATCAGTTGAGATGAGGTTAACTAGAGCCCTGGGTCTGTCATTTGGTGGATGGCTAACGGAATGTTCGACAGTAAACACAGTGAGGTGCTGAGGCTCACTGCAGTGCTGAGAAGTTTAGAAGCGCCTTCCGAAGGTATTAGACATGAAGGCCACAGGTCATAATTCAGTTCACTGTAGGAAGTGTTCAGGACAGGCAGACCCCTGGAGATGGAAAGTGGGTTGATAGTGAGGCTGAGCTTTGGGTGGTGATATGGTTGGGGTAGTGGCTGTCTTGGGCCATAAGGTATTCTGATGATAACTGAATTATACTGATAGTGATTGGTCATGGTTGCACAGCACACCTCAGTGAATCAAGACACTGAGTGAACCATCAGTAAAATTGTTCAGGTCACTTAGGGGACTGGGGTGGAATTCAGTGCTGAGCAGAGCACTTGCCTAGCTCTTGTGAGACTCTGCTCCATACCCATCATGGCAGGAAAAGAAAAAGATTTTATTGGGGAAAACTCAGTATTAGCTCTTTTTAGTAGGCATTGAACCAAGGCTTGCTGTCTTTTCAGGCTTCCATACACTGAGTTTTTTGGTGGAGTGAGTGGCCTGACGGTGGAACAGTTTCGGAAAATCAATGGCTTTCCTAATGCTTTCTGGGGCTGGGGAGGAGAAGATGACGACCTGTGGAACAGGTACTGGGGATGCCATGAGCTGCATGTGGTGACCGGCTGTAGCTGTCATCTTGGTGTCCTTGTGGCCACATTTTAAAAGATAGACCAAGAAAAATTGGTTTACCTAATAGAGTATATGCAAAATTACATTTCAGCATGTGACTGGTATAACATGGTATATCTTGCATTTCACATGATGCTCTCTCAGCCTTTGCAGGCTGCTGTGAGCCTGTGCTTAGCTTATCCCCCTTGTGAGGAGCATATGGAGCACATACACGCATGCAGACAAAACACTCATGTGCATAAAATAAAATAAAATAAAATAAAATAGAAATTCAGGTGATGCACAGGTATGTGAACTGAAGTCAAAGTGCAGCCTGTTTCGTCCCTGGAATTAGCTGGTGTCTTCATGGGGGTGGGAAGGTCTTGAAGAGGTGTAGCCTAGGTTGGACTCAAATTCAGGATCCTCCTGCCTCAATATGTTGAGTGCTAGGTCACAGATGTGCACCGCTTCATGCTGTGCTATTAATGTTAATCTGCAGTGCTGAGACCTCTAGGCAAGCGTTCTGCACTGAGCGCTGTCCCCGGCCTTTTTGTTTGTTGTTTGTTTTGGGTTTTTTTTTTGTTGTTGTTTGTTTTTTGGTCTTTTTGAGACAGGGTCTCCCTGTAGCCCCAGCTGACCTGGAACTTGCTATGTAGACCAGGCTGGCCTCAAATTCACAGAGATCCACCTGCCTCTGCCTCCTAAGTGCTGGGATTAAAGGCGTGTGCTACCACGCCTGGCTGTTTTGTTTTTTATGATCATAACATACATACATGTGTGAATGTGAGTATGTGCACAGATATGTTCAGGTGGAGGCTAGAGGTGAATGTTGGATCTCTTCCTGAATCATTGTTCACCTCATTTTTTGAGACCGTCTCCCAAAGAACCTGGAACTCATCAATTCTAGCTAAGCTAGCCAACCATGAGCTCGAGGGATCACCTACTCGTCCATCTCATCCTGCCCAGAGCTGGAGTTACAGACAGGCACCACTGTGCCCATCCTTTACACAGGTGCCGGAGATCCAAACTCGGGTTCTCATGCTGCTTGGTCAGCACTTCACTAACTGAGCCATCTCTGAGGCTCCCTAAACCATTGTTTCCGATAGCAATTACATGGTCTTGCCTCAGACAGGTAAATTAGCTTATGTTAATCCTCTATTGGTGCGTACTAGATGTTTATAATTTTGTACAGCCCATCCTTTGTTCACATGTGCAGGTATTTCTCAAGTTTACATTCCTAGAGTGGCATTACACAGTCAAGAAATCTATTCAGGAGCCAGGTGTGGTGGCCCATGCCTTTAATCCCAGCGCTCAGGAGGCAGAGACAGGTGAATCTCTGAGTTCAAGGCTAACTTGGTCTATAGCGTGCTCCAGGTCAGCAGGGGCTATAGGAAGACCCTGTCTCAAAAGGACCAAAATAAATAAACAAGTGAATGAATTAATGCAATAAACATAAATATAAAAAATAATATAAATCTATTGATTTACAGGTGCTAGGAGTATGACTCAGTGATGAAGTACTTTCCCAGTATGCACCAGTCCCTGGTAACACACACACACACACACACACACACGCATACATACACTACACACAATTAATTGGACAACGAGATATCTGAGTATGATCCCTAGAAACCATATTTTAAAAAAAGAAGGGGGCTGGAGAGATGGCTTAGCAGTTAAGACCACTGACTGCTCTTGCAGAGGACCTTGACCTTGGTTTGGGTTCAATTCCCAGCACCCATATGGTGGCTATGAACCATCCTTAACTCCAGTTCCAGGGGAATCCAAAGCCCTCTTCTGACCTTTGAGGCATTGTACGACATGGGTGCACTCACATACATGCAGGCAATACACTAATACACATAAAATAAAAATAATAAATAAAATATTTAAAGAAAGGAAGGAAGGAAGGAAAGAAAGAAAGAAAGAAAGATGACTCAACAGTTAATAGCACTGGCTGTTCTTCCAGAGAATCTGGGTTCAGTTCTCAGCTATCATCCTTAACACCAGTTCCAGGGCATCTGACACCTTCTTCTGGCCCCTGTGGGCATTGCATGCTTGTGGTACACTTACACACATGCAGGCAAAACACTCATGTAGATAAAACGTTTTTTAAAAATTGGGGGCTAGAGAGATGGCTCAGTGGTTAAGAGCACTGACTGCTCTTGCAGAGGACCCAGGTTCAATTTCCAGCACCCACATGGTGACTACGAACCATCCTTAACTCCAGCTCCAGGGGAATCCGAAATCCTCTTCTGACCTCCACAGCATTGCACAACACGGGGGCATTCACATACATGCAGACAATACACTCATACACATAAAATAAAAATAACCAATAATTGGGGCTGGAGAGATGGCTCAGCGGTTAAGAACACTGACTGTTTTTGCAGAAGACCTGGGTTTGGGTCCCAGCACCCACATGGCAGCTAACAACTGTCCTTAACTCCAGTTCCAGGGGATCCAGCCCTAATAAATAAATAAAAAAAATTTTTTTAATTGGAGACCCTGTCTCAAAAATACAAAAATAAATAAATAAATAAATAAAATATTTTTAAAATTGGGGACTGGAGCGATGGCTTATCTTTTAAGAGTACTGGCTATTCTTGCAGAGGACCTGGGTTGGATTTCCAGCACCCACATGGTAGCCAACAACGATCTGTTTACTCCAGTTCCAGGGGAATCTAGCACCCTCTTCTGGCCTCCATGGGCATGTGGTGCACTTATATACATGCAGACAAAACACTCATACACATAAAATAAAAATTAATGTTTTTTTGAAAAAAAAGGGGGGGGCTATGGGGCTGGAGAGATGGCTCAGAGGTTAATAACACTGGTTATTCTTGCAGAAGACCTGGGTTCAAATCCCAGCACCTACATAGCTGCTTACAGCTGTCCATAACTCCAGTCCCAGGGGATCCGACAGCCTCTTCTGACCTCTGCGGGTATTGCACGACATGGGCGCACTTACCTACATGCAGGCAATACACGCATACACATAAAATAAAAATAATAAAAATTTAAGAAGGCAGGGGCTAGAGAGATGGCTCAGTGATTAAGAGCACTGGCTGCTCTTGCAGAGGACTTGGCTTCGGTTCCTAGCACCCACGTGGTAGCTAACAACTGACTGCAACTCCAGTTCCAACTGACACCCTCCTGACCTTCATGGCATTGCACAACATGGGTGCACTTATATACATGCAGGCAATACACTCATACACATAAAATTAAAATAATAAATGTTTTTTTAAAATTATATTTTATTTATTTTCATTTTATGTGTATGAGTGTATTGCCTGCATGTGTGTGAGTGCACCCATGTTGTGCAATGCCTCGGAGGTTAGAAGAGGGCTTCAGATTCCCCTGGAACTGGAGTTAAGAACGATTTGTAGTTGCCATGTGGGTGCTGGGAATATAAATATTAAAAACAAAAGAGCTAGCTGGGTGTGGTGGAGCCCAGTATTCAGGAGGCAGAGGCAGGAGGATCTCTGTGAGATCCAGGCCAGCCTGGTCTACATAGTGAGTTCTAAGCCAGTTGAGGCTGTGCAAGGAGACCCTGTCTCAAAAAGACAAAAAATAAATAAGAGGGGTTGGAGAGATGGATTAGTAGTTAAGAGCTCCATCTGCTCTCCAGAGGACCTGGGTTCGGTTCCCACATGGCAGCTAACAGCTGTCCTTAACGCCAGTTCCAGGGGATCCAGTGCCCTCGCTTAACCTCTGTAGGCATTGCTTGACATGGGTGCACATACATGCAGGCAATACACTCATACACATAATTAAAATTTTTAAAAATATATATTCTATTTATTATTT